AGGTTCAACGGCTTTGGTTTTTCGGTTTCCGCCTTCCGGGCTCAGATCTGTTGGTGGTTTCCCCTCAGGGTGCTCGACCGGGCCCTTGTGCCATATTCTTCCCTCGATTGGACTTTGGTATTTCAGATGCGGGTTAAGCTCGCCTTCTTGCCGGTTCTATTTAGCCCTTCGGTGAAGTTTGATTGTGGGTTGCTCTGTTGTGGGTTTGGCTAGTCGGCTTGGATGTGGTGGGGTGCGTGTTGCATGCCCGCGTTGTTCAAGAGAGGTATTAGTATGTGGTTAGCTTAGATATGTGTTTAGTTTGTTTGTGAGTTATTCTCTTTCTTTTAGTGTAGATTCTCCGCTAGTTGGAGTTGTGCTAGCCCCTCGTCGGTGTTTTTGCTTTGTGTGAGTATTTTTGCATCATGTGGAAGTAGAAATCAAGCTTACGGTTTCAACATCCTTCTTAGGACAACTGTTGGTAGCTGGTACTCTCTTTCGAGTTTAGTTTTAATTTTCGAGTTTAGTTTTAATTTAGATTACTAGTGTTAGTGCTCCTCCTTGAGCTAGATTAATTTGGCTAGTTGACCTACGATCTTATTGGGTTCTTCCTCCTTTTGAGTAATACAATCTATCGTTTTGTTAAAAAAAAAATTAAATAAATAAATAGAAACCGGATAGTCTAGCTAGCTAAAACCCAAATTATCTTGAGCTACCAAATTTGTCATTTTTCCAAAATATTGTAGCTGCTAATAATATAAATGGGCTGTGAATATTGGGTGTATTTTATCTTGTACTAGGTTGGTATACCATTAGGCCGAGGTTTTTATTTTATTTTATTTTTTTTTTTATGCGTGCATATTTCATTAAAAAATGTCATAGAAAAATATAAATAGAAGTATCAAATTTAATGGTACTTGATATGCATTTTGGTTTAAATATTATGATGGGTCGATAGAAAATTCATATACTATTATTTATTTTATTGGCCTTTCCCATAGTATAGTATTATTTAATGAAACAGCTGCCATGCTTGCGATGCTTCATATCAACATTTAAAGTTGCATTACTGTCATGTCCTACTGTTAGTTTGAGCATTTATTTCGATCTTCATCTCATGAAATAATTTTGAAAATTCCACGATTAAAAAAATATTTTGTGCATTATAGTAGTATAACTCATCAACGTACAAATTAAGAGAAATTAATATTAACAAATATTAATTGCGAAAAAACTTGGTAGGTGATATGTAATTAGGAAAATGCTAAAGTCACGTTACGGAACCATTCCGTCGGAGTTTGTAGCTGTCATATCAACATGTAACTGTCAGAGATAATTGATCTAACGGTTACAAAACCCGGTAACGGGACCGTAGCATTTTCAATGCAATTAGCTCTCTTGTTCATGAAACCACACCAGCGGACAATAGTGGATGCAAATAAAGATGTATATTATGTCTAGACATGGCCAGGGCTCGGCCTGGCCCGTAGGTTGCCGGTTTCGATAACCGGCACCGTAGCTTTACGGGTTGTATTCGGGTCCTTTTTTTTTTTTTTGTCCCGGCAGTCTGGGACCGGACCGGGACAAGCCCGATTCCACGGACCGGCCCTTGGTTTTTGGCGAGCTGGTTAAGGGTCACCCATGGGAGGCCCGCCGCCCGTTCACTGGCCATATCTAATTATGTCCCTATTTCTTTGGTACAATTTACACATAAACGGCCAATCACTAATTATTAGAGCTAATTATGTCAAAAAAAATATTAAAGTAATGTCCACATTATCCTAGTTTTGTTCTCAACCATCGATGCTACAAATTACAATAGTTCAAAACTCGGTGTATTATTTATTTATTGATTGATTTAATTTAGTTTCCCTTTGCATTTATTTACTTCTATGTATATCGGCCATTAATCATCATCATGTGGACTGTTAGGACAACAAATGACCCATCAAAATTTCCATGTGCGTACGTAGTAATATGCAAGTAACTATTTCTTTATTCATATTTAGATTTTTATATGTACATGTCCAATATACCCAACTCGTGGACTAAGCTCAAAATATCCAGGACGGGTTACGAATGGGCCAAAGTGGTCCAACATCTCAAGGATAGCCCAATCACAGAAGCCCAAAAAGTTGTCAAATGAGAAATTTGTTTTATATATATAATTATAAAAATGGGTGAATTTTGGATGTTTGTTTAATGAGGTGGTCACAGGCTGTTGCAATTAATGGGCGGGAAACAAACAATCATGGTCATAATAATAATAATAATAATAATAATAATAATAATAATAATAATAATAATAATAATAATAATAATAATAATAGTTGCCGTGTCGAAATAGGTAATATTTTATTGAATGTCTGAAAACGGACTAGCAGATACGTTTGTTTGTGTATAGTCACGGGAAAACAGTTAAGAGACGCTGTCCGTTGTAATTTAATTACTATTATTATTATTATTACGACCAATCAGTTGTAGGCGTTGACCAGACGGCACATGAGCTGACTCGTTCGTGATTTTAGGACGCGTTTCAAACATTATTTTTTTTTGTTATGAACAAATCTATTTAGGTAGCGGACTTTGGAGTTGTTCATAATTGATTTAAAATATATTACATTTTAAAAAATTTGTATATAACAATATTGATTAGTATATTTTATACAATAGATATCTTATGGATTAAATATAAGTCAATTTATTAATATTTTAACTACTCGTCTAACCCCACTTGGTTTCTATCTAGTCGTCCTGGACGCTGGACCTAGAAATGCCCAAACCTCGGTTCTGGCCAGTTTCAGATGGGAACTATCAGGACTGGGCTAGGTTTTGGAGGAACCTGAATAGGCCCGAACATATGCACGAGACGCTTTTTAGCCCGGACCAGTTTCTATTGTCACTATCAGATTATCACAACATCAGTGAGTTCAATATATTAGGCCGGCTAATAATAGATTTTGTGAGTATAAACATGATTGATGGCTAGTTCGAATACAAAACTCAAACCAAACTCCCTTTGTAAGAAGTCACTGGGAAACACTCTTGTAATTGATTTTGTACAACCCATTTGGTCCCTTATTACATATAACTCCTCCAAATTATTTGCATTTTCGCTTTTATACAAAATCTGACCAACATTAGAACAAGTTTGTTCTGCCTATTGAATACCAGGACTTGTGACAGAATGAACTGATTCACCGAAAGGTAAGTGACAACACAGTATGATACTTTTTGGGCCAAGTTGTTCATAGTTAATTGATTCAATGTATATGGCTAATCAATTGAATTCAAACGCGATTTAGACTTAGCCATCGACTCAATTACATTGATCCTACATCTATACTCT